GGGATGGCTTCAGGGGATGGATAATTGGTAGCACAATGGTTTGAGCTTGCTTTAACCTTTCTCTTACAAATACAAATGCCAAGTATTTGTGGCACTTTGGCCAAACCTTCTCTTGCATAAAGAAATGTCTCTGGGGTCTTTTGTGTTGGTGTTTCCAGCAGCTGGTGAGAATTTACCCCTGCTTGTTTTCCTTTCCCTCTCCTATTCACAAAAGGAGCAAATTAAGAAAGTTAAGATTTTTCTGCTTACAAAATGAAATCAAAAACTTTACAGACATGAGGTCTGGGCAGCAGTTTGGGCTTTGTTTTGTGCAGCAGGACTTGCTTATGCAAGGGACAGCCTTTGGCAGGGCCCTGAGAAGGGGTGGGCACGTGGCACCTCCTGCAGCACTGGGAGAAACAGCTTTGGGGGGAAATGGCATGAGAAATACCTGTGGGGGAAAAACGTGAAATACACCTTCCTGAGAGGTAGATTGTTTCCCCCAAGTCCACACTTCACCTAAGACACTGGACTTGTTCAGTGCAAGTCATGTAATGAATTTAAACCGAGGAGAACAAAGTATTATCTGCAAAAGATATTTTTAAAAATATTTTCTTTGCTGCTGTCTTCACTTTAACAGTTCACAGCCTGATTTGAGGCACAGTTAGCTGTGATCAGGGTAGGCAGCACGTGACAGAGCTGACAAACACTGGCCTCAGATTTGTGGTATCCCAAAATGTGCTGCCTACAAGCATTCCTGTGAGGATGAAATGGGAAATAAAAAATGGGCAGCAATCTGGGAAAAAGGGTGTCCAGAGCCAAGACTCAAGGACTGATGCTTTCAACATGTGTTGTTTCATGTTCCATTTTGTTTTATTTAATGTCTTTGTTTATGAATCAAGTTGTAATTTGAAGAACAGACCATGTGCTTGGTCCCTGTGTTGTACTCCAGCTCAGCTGGAGAAACTGGGGCCTCTGGTTTGGATAACATCTCTCCTGTTGCTCATCCTTTACATGCCCAGTGAGTCTGCAATCCCAAAGCATTGCTGGTTTCAGAATTAAGCCTTAAAACTGCGTTTCTGCTGCATACACGTGTACATTCACAAAGTCAGAGGCATGTTTGAATAAACAAATCCAAGCCCTCTCTTGCTGCAAACATTTCCTAAATGTCTCTTCATGGTCTCTCAGGCAGTTTTATCAGGACTGCTTCAATTTTGTGTAAGATTCCTGCTGATTGTCTACCAGGTCCCTTCTCTGCCAGTCTCTTTTCCCCTAGGATGGCAAATCTAACTCCAGCAGTCTGCTGCTGGATCCTGAATTCAGGAATTGTGCTTGTTGTTCTGAAAATGGAAAGCTTGGTGAGACCTAAAGCTACGTGAACACTGAGAAGCTGGAAATGAGAGGTGTGAGCTAGATGGAATTCTCATTATAAGTCTGGGTTTCTTAAATTATTTTGACCTCTAAAACTTAAGGTAGGACAGAATTCAGTGGAGGTGGCTGGGAGTGTGGGTAGACCCTGGTTCTCTGTGTGCTCAGTAAGGGGGTTTGTACTATCAAATAAGACATTTGTTTCCATTTATACAACTTGCAATTTGGTAATAGGCAACAGATGGAAAAGCAGTATCCAAATTCTCTTGTATAGAATGTCTTGTGGATACCATCCCCTCGTTTTGGAAAAACAGGCCAATTCCCAGTCCTGTAAGTGCCATTAAAAAGCACAGATAGTAATAATGAAGAAAGAAAACAGAAATACCTGAAACTTAGTGAAGTGCTATGAAATCTACTACTGGCTTCTGAACACCAACCCAAAGCTGTTTCAGGGTTCAAGGGGTATTTCCAGCCCCATGCTGCTCTGACTGAACTGACCAGTTGGTGGGTGTTCATAAGAGGCTTTAAAGGGCAGAATAAGGAATTTTTGCTTTTTACTACAAGGTTGTAACTTGATTGGCCGAAGGCAAATGTGGACAATGTTCACTGGCAGCAGTGCTGTGCTGTGGCCCTTCCTCTGTCCTTGAGTCTCCAGGTGACGGTCCCAGCCTGGTTCTGTCCTCCCTGGAGGGAAAGATGGACAGAACTGGTGTTTCTGTTCCTTAGGGGGTTTGGAGGGCCCTCTGGTACCCTGGTTTGGTGGGATGGAAACCTTCTGCAGGGCTGCACTGCCTCCCTGTGGCTTCTCCCTTCACTTCCCAAAATGCTGATTTGGGATGGAATTGTGCCTGTCGCACAGCGAGGTCACCCTGGCAGCCCGGGGTGCTGTCACTGCCAGGGGCACCCCTCGGTCCTGCCACTGCCACGCCAGAGAGGTGCCCAGCTCACGGGGCAGTGCTGGGCACCTAACTCAGGGCAGGGTTACATTGGGTATTGGGAAATAATTATTCCTTGGAAGGGGTGCCCAGCCCTGGCACAGCTGCCCAGAGCAGTGTTGGAACCCTCATTCTGGGGGGATTAATCAGATGTGGGATGTGGGTCAGTGGTGGCCTTGGCAGTGCTGGGGAATGGTTGGACTCGATGGTCCGGGGGCTTTTCCAGCCCCAACGACTCTGTGACAGACAAAGCAAGGGCTGGAGTGCTGTGAGAGCACAGTAAGTGGAACTGCAATAGAGGTGTAACAGCAATCCAAACAGATGTAAGTTATAAACCCCAGTCAGTGTTACAACCAAGGTGTAAGATTATGGGCTCACATATTTCCCCTTTCCAAACCGCAGCTTGAAAACTCAATCTGATGTTGCAACAGGTATCTTTAGCTGGGCTGAACTATTCAGGTGACAGGTCAGTGCCTGAGCAAGTCCCTTGCAATCTCTTCATGGCTGAGCAATATGTGGTGACAGGCAGTGCCAGCCCTGACTGTCCTGACATGGGGCACACGGCTCAGGGGATGCTGGCTCTGGGCAGGGTGGCATGCTGGCTCTGGGCAGGGTGGCATGCTGGCTCTGGGCAGGGTGGCATGCTGGCTCTGGGCAGGGTGGCATGCTGGCTCTGGGCAGGGTGGCATGCTGGCTGCTCTTCTTCCCGTTGCAGTTTTAACCTTGCCTTTAGTCTGCTTAACTTTGCATTCATTTTTTTCTGGCTCTGGAGAGTTTTGGCAGTTGGAGGCTGGTGTTGGGTGTGGCAAGAAGGGCAATCACTGCATGGGATTGAGCTGGAGTTTAATGATCTCGTGTTTCATTTGACACCCCATCCCTTGTCTGAGAGGGGTCTTGTGCTGTCCCAGCTGGTCCCTTTGACTGAAAGGGCTCTAATAAAGTTGGTATAAGGGCATTCCCATGTGACATCTGATGCTTTAGGGTTCCCTTGGTGAGTTTAGTGTATGATTTCCTTTATCTGGGAGTGCTGTGGGTTAGGAAGGCTGCTGGGGCAGTTCCCTGGAGGGCAGAGGGGTGGGTCTGCCAGCAGGTGAGATGTTGGTCTGAAGGCTGGGCACTGTGAGCTCCTGCCTAAGCTGAAGGTGATGTCAGGGCAGGGACAGCTGTGCTGCCAGCTGGAGACCAGCATGGGAGGAGAGAGGGAGCCTTCCTTAAGTGCAACAAAACAAAGCACCAGTTTTGTGGTGGTTCCATATCTGCCCCCATGCTGTTTTCCCAGGCCAGAGCAGTGAGCAGTGGTCACTCAGAGCAGCTGTCCTGGGAGCTCCTGCCACTCCTGGTGAGGGGCAGGGCAGGAGAGGCTTTGTCCTCCATTCCCCATCACCAAGCTGTGAAATCCCATTCCTTTCCCTGTGTTTTACCTCCCAGCCCCCGAGGAAAGGTCCGAGCTGTGCAGAGGAGGAGATGGTTTGCTGCTCTGTGCCCAGCCCTGTGCACACAGGAGTGGCTGCTGCTGGGACCCAGGCACCTGTGTCAGCCTGGCCTCAGCTGTCCCTGTCCCCAGTGCATGGTGCTGGCCTCCAGGGCACACGAAGTGACCACAGAGCTGTGATCTCTCTTGTTTTGCTGGAGTGGGTCGAGAACATTGTGTTTTAATCAGCTGTTGTGCTGCAGAAGGACTGAGGAGGGAGCACAGGGGGTCTTGTTCTGACTGAGGAGGAGAGCACAGACAGAGTTTTACGACACTTTAGTAGTTTGGAGGTACCCAGAACTTAAAGCAAATGTCTGAAAGTGTGACTAAGGTCTGCTCCTCCTCTGCATTTGGGCTGGTGGCACATAGTTCATCTTAAGCCTTCTGTGCTGTTTCATGCTCTGCTCCCCCAAAGGATGCTGCAGCCCCACAGGCTGCTCAGTGTGAGAGCACTGATGGGGGATGTGGTGCTTCACTGCTGGTAGAACTTCAGCAAAAGAAATAACTCAGATTTTAAACTGAAAAGGTAAACCCCTCACTTATCTCTAAAGCAGGGTTCCTGGTGCTGCAGCTGTTCTGCTCAGCCCTCCTTGTGTGTGTGCCTGCAGCTGTAGTGTTTCCTTGGTGAAATTATTACCTGTTTGACTCCCACCTGTCTTCCCTCTGCAGACGTGGCAGCCTCTGGAAGATGCATAGAAATCTCTTAATCCTGCAGATAGTGGCAATTAAATCTGATCTGTCAAATATTAGCCAGAAGCCCTGCCCTGTAAAATATTATTTTATCTGCCAACCCAGCTATTGCACAAGGGGTTGTTGTGTTCTGCAAGGCAAAGGTGGTGCCTTTGCCAGGGCAGGAGGTGCCAGTTGCTGCCTGAGGAGTGGCAGTGGGTGAGGTGCTGCCAGGGGCTGATCCCACCAGGCATTCCTGCGAGCTGGGCTCTGGCTGAGCTGCTGTCCCTGTGGGCAGAGCTGTGTCCAGGGCTCTGGCTGAGCTGCTGTCCCCGTGGGCAGAGCTGTGTCCAGGGCTCTGGCTGAGCTGCTGCCCTACAGGGTGGTTCCTGAATACCCAACACACGTGTTTACATCTTGGTGTCCCCGTGTGCAGCTCCCAGCCACATCCTGCTCCTCACTTCTCAACACCTCTCCCCTGCAGAGCCCTGGGGCTGGCTGCTGCTGCTGAGGGCAGGGATGGGGTGCTGGCTGTGCAGCCTCAGTGTTTGATCCAGGTTTGGCACGCCAGCCTGGGCACTCCCAGTGGCTGCATGCCTCGCTGGAGAGACTTGTTTTCTTGGGAGGCACAGTGGAGTAACCTCTGCCCCATGTGATCTGACGAGGAGTCACCTCCTGGCCGGGACCCAGACAAAGCATGGGATTAACTTTGCCCTGTGCTGATTTGTGGCTGCTCAGAGTCAGTGAGAGCTGCTCTCAGCAGTCTGACAGCGGTGCCTGCAGAGATGGGGGCCAAGCTGCTGTGCCTCTGCCTGCTCCCAGCCCTGCTCGCCTACTACATCTACTCCCCCATGCCCGAGGGGCTGGCAGAGCCCTGGAAACTGATGGTCCTCTTGACCCCCTTCAAGGCTGTGGGGCACCTGGTGAGTGGGTGAAGGGCTGCATGGGGAGGGCTGTGGAGCAAGGGGGGGATTCTCGTGGCTCTGGGACTCCTGGAGACGTGGCAGTACATGTGTGCCATGCTGCATGTGTTATGTGTATGTGGTAGTATATTAAGTGAAGGATACTACCACAGGAGATGAAACTAGGCATTAAACTTACTGCAACTCTGACAGATCTAAGAATAGAAAAGATTTAATTGTGCAATCTTGAGAAAAGGCCATTTAGAGTAACTGGAGTATGATGTTGGATGTGACCACAGACTGACAAGCACAGATGAGTTTCTCTTGCTTTACAGTCCTGTGCAGTTGAAGCCCTACTGCTTGAATTGTTTGTTTCTCAGAGCCTATGAGCTCAGCTCCCTCGGCAGTGCTGGGTGTCAGGGGAGGGAAAACCAGAGCTTCTCCGAAATACCCTTGATTTTTGTGGTTTCATGGAAATCTCCTGACAGAATGAGCCTAAAAACTACACAAAGCTAACTATAGGGGTGATAGTGCTAGAGCATGTAGAGATCAAGCTGTATAGACAGAAAAACAAAACTTTTAATGCCGCTGTGCTCTTGCCTACCTAAAAATGGTGTGCAGCTCAGGAGTGCAGGGCTGTGTGTCGCAGGCTGGACAGCTGGTGGTGTGACACCCTGGCTGCACTTCTAGGCCAGTATTTACTGACAGCATGATCCACGTGTCCCTCTGAGCTATTTTAATATGCACGATTTCCCTGGCTGCTGCTCAACTTCAGGCATGTTGCAGACCCTTCCAACACGTGTAAGTGGTCTGTGAAGCTACACATCACATGTAAATAGCGGTGCTGGAGCTCCCACCTCTGAGCTGCAGTAACTGGGAGCTGGTTTGAACCCAGGCTGTCCTTGCTGTGCAATGTGGCTGCAGCAGCGCCACTGAATCGTAAAAACAAGGTCAAAGATGAAGGTCTGGGGGGAGGAAGAGGGCTGAATGTTGCAAACATCTTCCTGGGTGGCTCATAAATGTTTTGAGGCTGCTTTTCCTCTTGCACAGTAAAATCTGCTAAAAGAGGGGTCTAAGGAGTCAGGAGAGAAGCTGCTAGGTTTGCTGGGGGGCTGCTGCTGGAAGGCTGTGCTGCTGCAGCCACCAGCACCTGGGCTGTTGGCACCAAAGGGCACAAGTTTGGAGTTTGCCTTTTCTGTCACTTCATTTATGACATAGTGGGTGTGATTCTCAGAAGTCCTTGAGAGACACCACGTTTATGATTTTCTGGTGGAGACAAGGGTGCATAGCTTTTTGGGATGTGTCCTAAACATCACTCTGGAGGGGCCTGCAAGGAGGGTCCGTGCCCAGGGAGCTCATTGCCCGGGCACCCCTGGCTGGGTCAGACTGTGGCCCTGGGCACAGGCAGGAGCATTGCCTGTGTGCTGGTGGATCATGTGCTGTCACTGGGACATGGAGTGGTGTCTGTGGTGCTGTCCCAGCTGCCTATGAAGCCTGAGCCCGTTCCCCCCAGCTCAGCAGCCCTGCTGGGGTGTGCCCAGCCCGCCCCTCTGTGCCAGTCTCACTGCTCCAGGGAAACTGGGAATGTCTCCCTTTGCCTGCCCATGGCCCTCTGCTGCTGAGCTGGGGAACAGCCTGCAGGAACGAACCAGCCACTTGCTTTGATGCTTGAGCAGAAAATGCTCCAGGTATTTCACGAAGTGCTCCACACCCTCGCTCTGGAACATGTGAAGAGACTGTAAAACGTAACACAACGTCCTTGCTGTGGTTCTGGGGTGTCCTCCCAAAGCTCCCTCCCTCCTCGGCCCCGCTTCTCAGAAACTGAAACTCAGACTCAGCCTTTCCCAGCCCCACTCACAAACTGCCTGTGTCCCTGTGGGGCTGATGGGGACCTTCCCTGCAGGGTGTCCCATCTGGACCCTCACCCCTCGGGATAACTGAGCTGCTGGAAGTTGGGTGGTTGCTCTGCCTGCCCAGGCACAGCCAGGCTCCCCTCCTCCTCCAGATATTTGGGAGTTTTGTCCTGTCTGCCCTGCTCCTCTATGGAAGAGGGAGGAAGTGACTGTGGAAAATGCGTGAGGACCCCAAACCCCGGAGTGGTTGATTTTCCTGTTAACCTGTGACACCCCGTAATCTCACACTGTGACCATGAGGAGTTTTGTATGAGAGCGGGATTTCCTTTCATTTCCATTGGATAATGGCCTGGAAACCGCAGGCAGCAGCTCAGTGGTTTTCCACAATGCAAATTGTCCAGTTGTGGAAAACACAGCTGTGCCAGTGCTGAAAATCCTCAGTGCTGGGGCTCAGGGAATTCCTTTCACCACAGGGGTTTCACAAGCTTGGTGGAGTCACAGCAAGACTCACTTTCACAGATATATTTGTATTTTCAAGAACTAATCCTGGGGGGAAAGGCAACAGTTGAGAAATATTTACATAAACTATGTAAATATTGTGGCTAAAGCTGCAGTTCTGGCACATGTGTGTTTGTTTTCATGGAGCTGAAGACAAGGACCTGTGTTTCCCTTTGTGGTGTGCCAGGGACTGCCCACTCATCTCCATCCCAGTTCCAGCTCACTGGGATTGGCAGGGCTCCTCCTGGCATCACCTGCTCCAAGCCTTCAGAGGGAGGTGATGCACAGGAACACTGAGCATGAGTCTGAGTGCAGGTACAAACCAGCAAGCTGGTGTCAGCGCTGGGCTCTGCCCTGGCTGGGCAGCAGGTGATGTGGTGTGAGTGACCATCACCACGGGCTCGTTCCCATCAGGTGGAGACACCCGGGCCTGTCGTTGTAGTGACTTACACAGCAACTTTACAGGCTTGCACAGAGCATTGAGTGCCCTCATGGAAATTCAGTCAGAGAGGAACTGAGGCTGCACTGAAAGCACTGTTTTCCCTTGTCTTTAGGCTGCAGCTGTTGATCTGCTGGGGCTGATGCACTACATGGAGGCCATGAGGCTGATCACAGTTATCGAGACAGTCGTAGCTACATCCGATGAAAACGTCACTGTGACGAGCACCGAGTTCAACAACGTCCCTGTCCGCCTGTACCTGCCCAGGAGGGCACCTGACGGGCTCAGGAGGGCCATGGTCTACTTCCACGGCGGGGGGTGGTGCCTGGGGGACGCAGGTAAGCACTTTGTCGTGGGTGCCAGGGGTCTGTGTGGAAGATCTCAACAGCCCGTGTCAAGCGCTGCCTTTTGTTTCACGGGATTTACCGCAGGGGAGGGTCAGGGAACCGGTGTGTCAGAAGTTAAAAGCGGGTGGAGGTTTGGGAAAGTCACCTGAAAGCTTCTGCCAAGAGGAGCATTAGGCTGTGTGTGTGTCCCTCCTCCCAAGGGCTGGGCTGTATTCTGAGTGACTCGTTTCGTTTCAGGCATGAAATCCTACGATCACATGTGCCGGCGGGTCTCAAACGAGCTGAATGCTGTCGTGGTGTCAGTCAAGTAAGAGAGATTCTCCTTCCAGATGGGATGAGGGTTTGGAATAAATTAATCTGTTTCAATTAATATAATTTTGCCATATCTGCCTTTGGTCATGTGTCTTCCTGCTGGCTATAAGCATCTGTGAACAGAGGCCATCGGGGTGGTCGTGGTGAACTGTGGTGGGTGGCTGTTTTGGCTTTATGAAGGTGGGTGGGTACCACAATACTGGACCCTCCTGAATAGACTGTTCCCACTTCTCTGGGCACAGAAATAACAAACATCCCCCAGCTCAGGCAGACATTAGCGAGCCCTTGTCTTTGTTAGCAGCAGGCACTAATGCATTTCTCTTGCCTCCACCAGCTACAGGTTGGCCCCTGAACACCGATTCCCGGTCCCGTTTGAAGATGTGTACTCAGTGACGAAGTTCTTCCTGCAGAGCAGGGTCCTGTCCCAGTACGGGGTGGACCCCACGCGGGTCTGTGTCGCGGGGGACAGCGCGGGGGGCAACCTGGCTGCGGCTGTGGCACAGCAGGTATGGCTGAAGCCTGGTTTGCAGGCTCAGAACAGTTATTTTGGTCATTTCGTGACCGCTGACAAACACCTCAGCTCAGGGAAGGCGCAGCTCTCGTGGTCTGTGCGCACAGGGTGTCCCACAGCCTGCGGGATCACGGGGATCCCAGGCACCAGGGGAGCGAGCGTGCCTGAGCCATTCACTGGCAGCAGAGGAGCTGCAGTGTCATCCAGACCCTCAGACCCTAAAAAAGGCTCTCTGCACTCTCGTTGGGGCACACAGCACACTGACCTTAAGCACATATTGACTGGTTTAGGTATGGTGTTTGAAAAGGGAATTTTAACAATCTGACTCATAAAGGTGTAAATAGCAGGGCAAAAACCCCCAACCAAACAAAAAACCATCACTAAGTGTTCCAGTGTCTGATCACACAGTTCAGTGCCTTTTGTGCTTCCCACTCAGGATTATTAAATAAGGCCAACATGATGTTGTTGCTCTCTTGAGAAGTTGTTTGGATTGTAATGAATCTCACTGGGAACACTGGTGAATTTGCTGTGGATGCTGAAGGCAGAAGGTGAGGGAGAAAATGAACAATTTATTAGTGAAGAGGGGAAAAGAATGACATATAAGAAATGTTAGTGTTCAATTCATCACATTTTATTTGTCACACCTCTAAAATGGACAGAATTGCAGTTACTTGAGTTGTAACACCTCAGGGCTAAAAACCAACCAGGTGGATAAGCTCCAAATTGTGCAAAATGATTAAAGGAGATTCAGAAATGTGAAATTTTCATGATAGAAGAATAGAAATTTTCTGCAGTTATAGAAAAAACATTTGTTATTACTTCAGAAAACATTGAAGCCTCCAAAAGAGTATTTCCCAAATAGCGTTATCCTTCAACAGAAGGAATAAAATGAAAGTGTATTTGATGTTTGAGAGTTTTTAGCACAGCACACTGTTTTAGGTGACCTGCCCATGGATTCAGAATTTCTTTACACTGTCCTGGTTTTATTAATCTTCTTTTGCTCATGTTGTGAAGTGTGTCTTATTTCCTTACTTCAGATCTTCCGTCAGCATGGGAGAACCAGCACTCTGAGTGACTCTGTAATTATTTCTGATTTCCTCTACAGCTGTTGGAGGACGCCGAAGTCAAAACCAAGCTCAAAGCCCAAGTTTTGCTCTACCCTGCTCTGCAGACCCTGGACCTGGATCTGCCGTCCTACCGAGACGGTGACAACAAGCCCCTCTTGCCCAGGCGGCTCATGGTCAGGTTCTGGAGCGAGTATTTCACGTCGGACCCCTCTCTGAGGGAGGCGATGGCCTCCAACAGGCACGTCCCTGCCGAGTCGGGCCACCTGTTCCAGTTTGTGAACTGGAGCCAGCTGCTGCCCGCGGGGATGAGGAAGGGGCTGGCGTACACGGCCCCCACGTACGGGGGCGCGGGGCTGGCTCGCCGGTACCCCGGGTTCCTGGACCCGCGGGCGGCCCCGCTGCTGGCCAGCGACGCCCGGCTGCGCCACCTGCCCCGCACCTACATCCTGACCTGCGAGCACGACGTGCTGCGCGACGACGGCGCCATGTACGCGCAGCGGCTCCGCGCCGCGGGCGTGACGGTCACCCACGACCACACGCAGGACGCTTTCCACGGGGCCATCATGTTCACCCTGTGGCCCTTCGAGCTGGCCGTGGCGCACCGGCTGTTCAACAGCTACGTGGAGTGGCTAAAGGAGAACCTCTGAGCCGCCTCGGCTGCCGGCTGGGACTGAGGCCGGAGGAGCCGCGCCGGTTCTCGGCCGCGATTGCGGTGGCCGAGACGCTCTGCAGGGTTGGGACCGGAGCTTTTCTCATCTTCTCTGGCAGGAAATCAGTCTGATTCTAATCTGAGCATCCTTCCAGTGCTGTCTGAGCCTCAAACCCCCAGACTGCCGGGACTGGCCTGGGTTTTCCCTCCTGGCCCTGCAGCTTCTGGGACTCGGTGTCTTGTCTCTGTCGCTGCTTCTTTCTTCTTGTCACAACATCTCCACACCACAGGCGTGTGCCGGTGGGCCAGGCCACTCTGGGCACACAGGAGGCACTCGGTGGCTGCTTTCTCCCTGTCCCTCTTGGCTCCTGTTTCCCATGGGATGTGCCAGCAAGGCCCTGCTGCTGCCGGGGGCGATGGGATGAATGGGCCACCAGCACCAGGTGCCAGGCAGCTGGTGGGACCCACCCATCGCAGGCAGTGGCTGGGCTGGGGCTGCTGTCCCTACCCAGCAAGGCTCAAGGGAAGCACTTGGAAACCCAGTGGGATGGCTGAAAAATTGTGCAAGTGTTTTGAGGTTTGGGGGGGGTTGTTAAAACTTTTTTTAAAAAGCACCTGTCTTACTCATACTCACTTTCTTTAATCCTTGAAGTAGCAGGAAATACTGCAACAAACCAGCACTGGATTTCCATCGGGGAAAGGGAAGCCATGAAGGTCCCAGCCTTACAAGAGCACTGCTGCATGGTCCATGCTCTGCTTATCTGATAAGTCACGTACTGTGTGTTCTAGTTGTCCTTAAAATTGTTTAGTAGTTTTTCCATATGATTTTTTAGAAGTAATTTTTAAAAGTAATTTTTTTAAAAAATTAGGTTAGTAGCTTTTTAGGTTTGAAAAAGAGTTCAGCTTTCTGCGTGGAACAAATAACCTCCGTGTAAATGTTTTGTGTGCTAAACATAAACCCTAAAATTTTGAAGCATGAATACAGGGGTTGTTGGTTTAAGCTAATCAAACCATGACCATGTACTTCATGTATCCTGCTTTTCTTTTGCATAAAAGATACTGAATCTTCAGTAATTCTGGGTTATTTTTCCTGAGTGTGTGCAGCCTGTTCAGATGGAATGTGTTTGGGATGACTGCTGTGCTTTTCGTCTTTTTTAAGCTGAATATAAAAATTAAACTAGTCTTTGATTACAATGCAGTGTGCTTTGTCACTCGAGTGTCCCATTTCTCAGGAAGCAGCAGCAGGTGTGCTGAAGCCAAAGGGTGGCTGCTGCAGACAGCCCAAGGCAGACTCCGGGAGATGTTTTATTTCTTCTGTTACTGTTAATGTGAGTACTGGTAATGTTGAGGTGTTTGGAAGGTATTTCTTGGGTCTCTCTGCCGCACTGCCAGCACATCCCACACTCGTCCATGGACTGGGCTCCTGCCTGCTGGCAGCAGGAATCTCCACTGGAGCTCTGTTTCTCCCACGCTTGAAAATAATTAACAGCATCTTAGTATTCCTGAGGGAGTGGGGCTTTGGGGTTTTGCTAAGTAACACCTTTGATCTGACTTTCTATGCAGTGTTAGGGTCGTGTCCACAAGAATATTGCCTGGATGGGCATTTCTGGGATGTAAATGCGAGTAGGATGAGCCCAATAGTGGTTTCCAGGTATATGGCAGACAAATCCTTGCTTGAGAGACTGTTTAGAGAGGATGTTTGTGTTGGAGGAGACAGGCCCACACCACATCCCTCAGCAGGCTGCACTGCTGTCACCCAGACTGGCTTGGGTAAGTTGGCTTTGCCTCCCTTTGAGAGTGCTGGACCTGCCTGTGCCAGCCCAGCTGGAGCAAACCTGGGGAACCCTCCCTGTTCATGCTGTTCCCTCTGTTGTGGCTCTGGCATTGTCTGCATCATCAGCACTCAATGTCTACCTGTAAGGCAGAAGGAAAATTTATGTTCTAAACAACAGTGCCAGCCAAAAATTGCCAACCTCCCGCTCCATGTTTTTATAGGACTCTCTTGGAACTAGAAGTAAATGCCTTTTAAGCATCAGCACCTAAATATGGAGTCACGATTGATTGGACTGTAAGTGTTTTTTTTAGATTCCTGAAACAGAATTTTGGGGTTGGAGCTGCCTGGTGTGGCACAAAGTGAGACAGTGGAAATGCACCATCGGCATCACTGGCAGGAGGGGCTGGAGCTGCAGTAAGCAACTCATTTTACTGCACCAGAAAACAGGACAGATCACCCCAAGGGAAGGCTTTGGTCTGTCTCCCAGCAGAGGCCGAGGTGGGATTTGGTGTTTGACAGTCAGGGACTCACAGCCCCACTGGAGCTCCCAGGGGAGCCAGGTCCACTCTCAGAGATCAGACCCTCCCAGGATGGCCAAGCACAGGCAGGGTAGTTACAGACTCTCCAGCTCCCCTGTCCCCTGGACAAAACCTGGTGCAGGGGTAGGTGTATGAAGCTCACACTCGTGAGTGAAGGAGGAAATAAATCATCCTCAAAGCATCTGCAGCAGTCAGGGCTTCATTGTTATCCATTTCTTAAGAGCCCTTAACTTTTTGCTGAAGATTAAAAACAAACTGGTTTAAAAACCAACCAACCAACCAACAACCCCCCTAGATATAGAAGTTGGCAATAGTTTTGGTCCTGGGTGTTTCTGGAGCTGCTGGTCGGGTTGTTGCCGGTTGGGAAATGCAGGGAACTCTGCTGGTGTGCTCAGCCCAGCTGTTGTTCCCCTTAGGGCTCGCAGAGGGGCCCCAGTGCTGCCGTTACACATTACCCCACTGAGCTGTTGGGTTTTGCTCTGGTTCCTCATGCTGAGCTTGGCTGTAGTCCTGGCTGAGCCCTGCCCATTTGCAGCCTGTTGTGCCAGGAGGAGCACCTGGAGCTGCTGGCATGGCCCATGGCACCAGGCAGGGAGCACCGGGCACTGACCCCTCTGGCAACCACAGAGACTCTGCTGAGACCCCCAGATCGAGTGTTCCTCAGGGCTGGGGCTGTCTGAAGGCAATGGAATTGCAGGTGCCAGCTCGTGTGACAGGGAGAGCCTCAAAATAACAAGGGTTAGAAACCTGTGCTCAGAAACACGATGAACCAGTGCAGCAGTCACGGAGCTGTAAAGCTGGGACAAAAGCAAACCTAGGGAAATGACATTAAGGAGCATTTCTTGCTCCCTCGCCAGTTCTCTGAGGTGTTACTGCAGTGGGAAGGAAGAAACGCTCCATTTATTCAGTCCCACTTTATCCTTCAGTGCAACAGCAATTGCCTTAATGGACAATATATGTAAAAGCTGGTAAATGAGAAGCCAGTGTTGGCTTTTTTAATTGGAATTTTAAATCAGCTTTAAATCAGTGTTGGAATTTTAAATGAGCTTCTGTAATGCTTAAATATGAGCTGATCTATTGGCCTTGTCTGCATAGAAAAGCTACAACAGCTTTTTATATCTCTTAATAGGGTTAATGTTTGCTAACGGTGAAATACATTACAATAAAGGGGAGGGGGGAAAATGGTAGGGAACCTGTGGCTTCCCCATCCCTGGAGGTGTTCAAGGCTAGCTTGGTTGGGGCTTGGAGCTACGTGGTTTCGTGGGAGGTGTCCCTGCCTGTGGTGGGGGGTGCAGTGAGACAGTTCAGGAGCATCAGTCACCGTGGAGCTGGGTCACTCTGCATTAGCAGTATTTATTGTATTTTCATCCTTGCCAATCATTTCTATATCTCAGTGCTGAATGAAGCAGCGAGCTTTGGAGTGGTGATGTGTTACTGCATGAAAACTAAGTTCTGTTCTTTAGTGCTCTGCTGTAATATAATTCAGTGTATTGTTTCACTGGTTTGCGAACCGTGGGAAGTGGCTGAGCTGCGGCAGCTGCTGTGTCGGTCTCTGGGTGCAGTAGGAGAGGCTGAAGGTGACTGCGTGTGAGCAGGGAACGAGCCACCAGCTCTGCCCTCCTGCGGCTCCCGGGCATCTCCCAGGGCATGGGGTGGGGAGCAGCGCCCTGTCCCTCCGCACGCCTCCTGCCGCCCCGGGCAGTTTCCGAACGGATCCCTGTGAAGTGCGAGCGTTGTTTGCAGCTCCCTCGGCGCACAGTGGGCAGCCCCACCCTCCCACCGCTCCACGTGCTGCTCAGCAAACACGTCCTGCCCCGCCGGGACTCCTTAGGATTGAACGCGGCTCGCACTCGGCGTGACGGCAGCCCTGGATGCTGGAGCCCTGGATGCTGGAGCCCTGGATGCTGGAGCCCTGGATGCTGGAGCCCTGAATGCTGGAGCCCTGAATGCTGGAGCCCTGGATGTTGCAGCCCTGAATGCTGGAGCCCTGGATGCTGGAGCACGGCGCAGACGCAGCACCCACAGCCCCGGGGATGGTAAGAGGCCGGTACTGGGGAGCCTCTTCTGTTCCTCTGGGGAGCCTCTTTTGTTCCTCTGACGAGCCCGTTTCTGAGCGAACCTTGAACTGCTTTACCTGCTTACCTTAAAACTGATCAATCAGCCTTTTTCTAAGGCTGCTTAGATTGATAGATACACTGCCTAAATCAATGTATCTGTCAATGCAGGAACTCGTAAATTGTTGTTGGTATTTAGAATGCTACGCTTTCCAGATTTAAAACCTCGCTAAGGTGTGGAGTTTCTGGTCAAGAGCCAAGCAGCCAGGGCTCGGTAGGTGCTGCAGCTGAGGTGACTGAGCAGAGTCAGCATTCTGTAGCATTTCTGTCCCCCGCGGGGCACAGAGGAAGTGTAGAGACCTGCTAGAGGTAACTTTGTTAAGTTTTGGATGTGCTGTGCTTTGTCCTGGCTCATGGTCTACCTTTAAAATGAAATGTGGTGCTCTGAGGGCAGAGACCTGTGAACAGGTTGTGGACACTGGAACACCTTTGAAAATGCTCAGCCTTAGCTTGAGTTCAGTTTTGATCTATGTCCAGGTTTCTAGCATTTTGTTTTCCCTGCTTTCTAATTGTTTGCTGACACTTTCCTTTCAGCTCTCACTGAAAGCTGTGTCCTGCAGCTCCCTGCAGTGCCGGCTTTGCCGAGGAGGAAGCAGGGAGAGCACTTGAGATCCTTTTCTATTTCCTCCCTGTCCTGAAAGGATTTTGTTCAACCAACCTTTAGATAGAAAGCAAGCAAACTTTGTCCTCAGGCAAGCTCATGCATGGTGCAGCTTCCTAGAAAGCCTTGGCAGTGTGCACAGGAGAGACACTCCATCCTCCGTGCTCTCCTGGTACCCAGCTACCAGCAAAGCTGTGCAAAGCACACCATTAATGGTTCTGTTAGTTTAATAAACACAGCTCTCCTGGCTTCCTAATGAATTCCAAGTAATGTTGTGAGTGTGTCTGCCCTGCTGCTAATGAGCTCATCCTTCATGAGCCTTGACAGCGAACTTCTGCTTGGGTGATGAGTGAGAGCTCATGGGACCGGCGTTGGGTAACGGGGGCAGATGATTCCTCTGACAGGGCTCTGACAGGGCACTGACAGGCCAGTTTCACTTTCCTGGCCCCTGGCACTGCTGTGGCTTTGGCCGAGCAGCAGCTGGCATGTCATGGCAGGTGCCTTCAGGGGCTGCTCTTACTTCAAACTCCTCACACAGGTCTTTGCTCAGGCAAGTTTTCATCTTGCTCCATAACTCTGGTCAGTGGCTGGAAGTGCAAATTCCATGTGTGAGAGACATTCTTTCACGTCAGGTAACACATGAAGGCTGGAATGAAATTGGAGGGTATATTCACCAATTACAGCAAAAATATAAACATGTAAATGTTCTTTTACTCATCTTTGTTTTTTGTTTGTTTGGTTTTTTGTTTGTTTGGTTTTTTTGTTTGTTTGGTTTTTGTTTTTTTGTTTTTTTGTTTTTTTTTTCCTTGTAACTTTCCAGGCTGTGAATGAGACCAGTGGCTGCTTGCAGACAAACAGAGTCCTAGAAAAGTATTATCTCTCCACCATGTATACCCTTGAGTTCATTTTAGGCTTCACTGGAAACACCATTGTGGTGTTTGGCTATATCTTCTGCCTGAAAAAATGGAAAAGCGGCAACATCTACCTGTTCAATTTATCCCTCTCAGATTTGTTATTTCTGTGTACTCTGCCAATGCTGGTGAACAGCTACTCCCGAGATCGGTGGGCGAAGGAGGACATCCTGTGCCACAGCAACAGATTCCTGCTGCATGCCAACCTGTACAGCAGCATCCTCTTCCTCACTGCAGTCAGCGTGGACCAGTACATGCTCATAAAACACCCCTTCAGGGACCACGTCCTGCAGAAGAGGAGAACGGCTGTTCTGGTGTCCATTGCCATATGGATCGGGGTGATCCTGGAGCTGCTGCCACTGGTGCATTTCCTGGAGCCTCTAACACCTGCCAACAATTACAAGTGTCTTGATTACGCGAGCTCTGGAGACCCCACAAAAAACCTCATCTACAGCGTGTTCCTGACTGTCTTCGGGTTCCTCATCCCTCTCTTGATCATGTGCTGCTTCTACGTGAAGATGGTTCGTTTTCTTAAAAACAGGAGCGAGCAACTCAGTTCTCCCCTGGCCCTGGAGAAGCCTCTCACCCTCGTGATGCTCACCATGGGGATCTTCTCCCTGCTCTTCACTCCCTACCACGTCATGCGCAACGTCCGACTCGCTTCCCGAATACCGGCCTTGAACGTCCCCGAGTGCACGCAGGGCATCATCAGCGCCATTTACGTCATCACGAGGCCCTTTGCCTTTCTAAACAGTGCCATTAATCCTGTTTTCTATTTCCTCATGGGTGACCACTTCAGGGAGATGCTGATGGCCAAAACAAGGCAGCTCTTGCGCAGGCTGACAATCACCAGGAAGTGACTGAGGACGGAGACCCCCCTGGAGTGGGTGACGGCAGGGAGGACACTCTCTGAGGGAGAACATTCAGCCATGTGCCTTTTTATTAGATAACTTTGTGCTATAGAATAAGTGTAAGCTGATTGTGTTCCTGTAAATGCACCTGTTGCCTTATTGTGCAGGAGACCTGCTGAGCTGCCTGCAGCAAACCAGGGGAGATGCTCACTCCCAGCAGTGCAGGGGGACCCTGCTCTCGGAGCGGGACACCCCCCAGCACATCAAGATTGTCAACAAAAGAACATCGAGTCAGCTCTTGGAGGGAAGAACACACTGCTCTCAAATAACTGCTTTGGGAGCCATAATGTGACGCTGGACAGCAAGGCAAGCTCACAGGGGCATTCTCCCAGTCCCTTATCAGAGCACGGAGCTACCCAGCTTTAATGTAGTTGTCTGTAAGTGCCAGCAGAACGTATATCCTGAGGCAGAATTTGGACCTTAGAGTTCAAACTTCATTAGCAGTTCTGCTAATTAACCAGGAGCTAATAACGAGCCAGTCCCTGCCTGACATCCCTGTGGGATCGATCAGGAGCACAATTTACTCTCCAATGGACTGCCCCATGTTCAGATGGAAAGGGGGAAGAGATCAATTGAGTAATGTCCCTGTAGGAGTTTGGGCTGGAGAAGGAGCTGCCTGGAGGGAGTGGGGGCAGGGTGTAGGCAGCCCCCTTCCCTGCCTGCATTCCTGCAGGAGATGAGGAGCCCCCAGCCCTGCTCCCCAGCATGGGAAGTGGGACACCCGCTGGGTCCCATCCAGGTCAGCCTGGGTTCAGCTCTCTCTGATGTGTCGATCATCTTCGATGTGCTTCACTGTGCCAGAGATACCAGCCCCAGATAATAAACCTTGCATCCTGCTTAAGAAAACAGAAAAAGTCTCCTTTGTGTTGTTTTACTCTAGTTGCTGATCTCTGGGGTGTCCACGAAGCCTCACCAGCTGCCTTGGCCCACGTCACAGGGCCCCGTGCCCTGGCACGGTCCTGTCAGAGCGTTACCAGAACAGGGTCTGGGTCCCAGCAGCCAGGGGGGTGACTCTGGGTTCTTGGCAGAAATCCAGAAGAACTTACAGTGTTGCTTTTGATTCTTTTAGCACAGAAACAGCCATGCAGAAGCTCAAGTTGCTTTGCCAGCTTCAACGTCCTGCTCGAGGCTGGGTTTGCTGGGAGAGGAGGCACTGCCTGCCCAAAGGCAGCCAGGTGTCACTGCCCTGGGTCCTGCTCTGCTGTCCTGCCCATCGAGTCTAGTGCAAGCCCTGAGGCAGGGCTGGGGCCGTGGGCACACGGGCTGCCACTGCCCTCTCCAGAGATGTGTCTGTACAGCACGTGGCATCCCATGCCTGGCTATCGATGGCCAGGAGGTGATTTCTCTTCGTAAGCAACGTGTAGTGACAGTTCTTGTGGATTAATATGCTCAATGAGTTGTTTTGCTGTGTCCACAGAGATGAGAGGGGTCATCTGCTCCTCCTGAGTGACTGAATCACTAAGGATGCGTGCCTGTGTACACGCCAGCATGGCATTTACCCACACAGCTGTTCCTGCCGGCTGGGCACCCACAGGTAATCATCTCCAAATGTGTGCTCTTTCTGTCACTGTATACCAAAGATCCATCATCACAAAGGTGCAAAGTCAGAACTGGTGCCAGCACCTGCACGGGTCACATCACAGCACCTTCTCTTTAGCTGGGGACCTCCAGACAGAGACCTGCTGGCCTCTGATCTCCCCCTCCTTCTGAGACAGCCCTGCTTTGGACCTTTGATTTAGTGGCAGTCTCTAAAGTCTCCATGACCTCCGTTTCCCCAAACTTGTGGGTGAAATTTCTGGTCATTACACAGTTTACTGTGGTGTTGCTGGTCTTGCAGTTAAAAATGTGATCAAATAGAATTAAAAACTCTGTGTTGAGTTCCACATGCATGCTCCTCTCTGCTTAATTCTTCTATTCCTGAGTAGTACACTGAATTTGAACTTGAATTAAGAAAGCCCCAAAACTCAATCTGGTTCACCTGAGCTGGGCTAACCCATTCTGTGTGCAGGTGTGGGTATGGGTGATGGGCTGTGGGTGCAGGTCTCCCCCTGGGCAGAGCCACACTTGGACTCTGGACAGCGGCATCAGCACAGCTGGACACATGCTTTGGTTCGGATCCAGCCGGGATTTTTTTGGTTTCATTTTGTTTTGTCTTCCCTTATTTTGGGTGGGGACTGGAAATGCCTCCAGAACAGGAATTCAGATGTGAGTCAGCCTGAAAATAGTCCAAGTATGTTTTAGTGGCAGTAAGTGATCTAAAAATAGCTGTTCCTGGGATGGGCCGTGGGGAGGGCGAGGGGCCGCCCTTGTCTGCCCGGCCCAGCAGCCACTTTGCCAGGCAAACACAGGGCCAGGACACTGGGCTGCTGTCAACCATTGCTGGAGGTTCCTGGTGGGTCAGTGTGGGGGGAGATGTGTTCTCCAGCAGATGCCTGGTTGGAGGGGATGGAGCTGCAGGAACCTGCCCTTGGAGGGAAATCGCAGCGAGTGCCACACCCGCTGGAAAACACACGGGTCTGCTTTTTTATTCACTCCAAACCCAAGGAAACCTCAGCTCATCTGCAGCTCAGAATGTCTAAAATGCCCTGCAGGGTTTCTCCTGACATTTGGAGGGTATTTCCAGGATTTGCCTTAGTTCCCATCACCTCTTGCCCTGCCCCTGCCTTGGTGGTGCTGCTCTGGGGATGCCCTGCTCCTTCCCCCAGCCCTCCTCAGTGCTCTGTGCCACAGCAGCTCCTGCTCGGAATTATTTTAAAAGTGATTTCTCAGATCTCTCCAGCAGAGCAGGAGTGCCCCCAGGGAGCTGCAGGGGCCGTGGGTTCAGCTCAAGGACTGGCTGTCCAGCCCTGGACATCTGGAGTGAGCTGGCACCTTCTGAGTGCCACGGTGTGTCCAACCATGTCACTGGCACATGGCAATTCAGAGTTAACTGCTGCTGTTGACAGCAATGGAGACGTTAATTCAGCTAACTTCTGCTTGCTTTCAATTTGGTTTCTACTTCCTAAAAATATTTAAGCTAAATAACCTTCCTGGAGCCCAGGAGGAACTTTAGGCTCTGGTGAGTCTCTGTGCCAGCCCAGCACTCGCCTTTGGTGGGTGAAGTGTTGTCACCTGAGCAGCCCCCCAAGGTCCATGTGCAGCATGAGGTGTCAGCACCACACACTTCAACAGTAGACTTTTACATGTTTGTTCAACACAGCTTTTGGATCAGCAGCATCAGGGCCTGCCCTGAGCTCATGAACACCTGAGGGCAGGGCATTGCAGGTGACTGATTGCAGGGCAAGGTGTCTGTCAGACTCATCTTCCTTTCAATTTTCCGTGTCTTACTGTTCTATTGACCTGAATAAGAGAAGTGGAACATTTAACTGCTGCCTTGCCTGTTCCTGTGCTCTTGCCTCACTTCCTGACATAGTCACATAAAAATCACAGGATGGAAGGTCTAATGAATAACCTTCCAGCTGAAATAACTGAGTAATTTGATAAATAAAGCAATCCAGCAGCTTGCCTGATGACTTCTGAAATAAATCATGTGCTCTCAGCTGCTCCAAGGCTTAATCTTAGGAATTCTCTCTCCTTCCCAGAGACCTGCTCTGTTTGGTGAGTGCTGTTCAGGAACAGACACAGCCCACCTGTTGTTGGCTTGACTATTTCTTTCTGATGGGAAAGATGAGGACTGAACCTGGCACAGTCCAGCTTTCCAGACAACCAGAGGAAATATCCTGAGGGAGCTGCTGGCCTGCCCAGCGGGGTGATGGAGTGCTGGGATGGGTGGAGGAGTGTCCCACTGCCCGGGTGAGGGGCTGGGGCAGCTGGCAGCGCTGATGAGCCAGAGGAGGGGATGGATACCACCTGCCCCAGGAGCTCCATCAGAGAGGGTGTGAGGCCCAGAGGGGTTAACCAGGAGCCCTGGTACTGCTTCCTTGCCTGCACAAGGATGGCAGTGCTGTGCTGCCTGCACCACGTGGGTGGGAGCACCCTCAGTGCTGTGCCACGCGGGCACGAGGAAGGACCCGGCTGAACAGGTAAGAACAAACCGGCAGTTCTCAAATGGCTTTTTTTCTAGCTGAATAAATTAGAGCAGAAAAAATTACTGCTGAACATGGCATTTCTCGGGAAAGCCTGTTTAGATTATTTGCTGGAGACAGAGCTCGTGTGAGCACTGTGTGGGTGTTGGGCTGCGGTGGGACAGGCAGATGGAATCAGGAGTTACTGGGGAGAAACAAAGTGACCCAGTTTGGTTTATCTGGCAGCGGAAATGTGTGTTTGGTGTTCGTGCAGCAGTGTGAGGGGGAACTGCTCCATGCTGAGGGTCTCTGTGACACAAGCAGGAGTGTTGTGGAATGTGGCCCATGGAAGCAGGGCTGGCACACGTGGCCCGTGGCTTCTGTGGATGGAGCAAATGAGGGGCAACGTGCAGAAACCTAATCCACAGAGCTGGGTGACAAGTGAAAATACCCAGAAATATCCCCTGTAAGTAGAAGTTCAAAGAGCAGATGTAACCCAAGGCATCAGCCAGGAGCTGCACACGAGGACTGCAGGGATTCATGGCACCTCTGTCCTCGGCTGATTGGGGAAATGGCTCGGGATGTGGGAATCGTTCCAACTCTCCATCCTTGGAACAGGAGCTTTAAAAATCACTTGGACTTCCTCTTTGTTCCTTTAAACAAACAGCCCCCATGTCTGCTTTCCCCTGATCAGCCCGTGGAGAGTCTTAAAACGAATGTGGCTTTACCTGATAGACCTTGTGCTCACGTCTGCTTTGTTACTGAGCAGCTCCTGGCACTGGAGGAGTTTGCCATTCTCCCACTGGAATACAGCTCCTGGGATGCCTGCTTGTGTTTCCCTGGCAGATTTACTAGCGGAAATCCTCCTCCTGCAGGAGCACAATGGCTGGGGGCTCTCCAGGGCGAGCAGCAGCCAGGGAAAACAAACGTGGTCCTGCTAGAGCACATTTCTGCAGAGGCCCAAATTTAAAAACTTTGGATATGAGGTTCAGTTACCAGAGTTTTATATTTAGCAAAATATATTTTTGAGTGAAGAGAAAGTACTTTATTATCCTAACATTGTCTGTCTTCATGGTGTGTGGAGAAATTCTGTTTTCTCTGTACTTCAACCCAGTATTTCTGCAGGGAAGGGTTTAGCTATTGACTGCCCTAAGCAGTGCTGTCTGAGGCTTTTGTGTATACTTCTGTCACAGGTAAATAACCTTTTCCTGACCAGGGAGCAATTTATTTTCAGTTCCTATTTGCTTTTCAGCGTTTTTATCTTATTTCCTCTGAATTAGTTGTTCTGCATTTCGGGGCAGTCATTATGAAATGGTGGCACTTTGTGCTGCTTGTTTTGCTTCACGTAGAGAAGTGTCCCAAGATGCTTTAGATGGCTTGATTTCCACAAAATCCCTTTGGATTCAGGGTTTGGTTGTGTTTCAGGATGACTCCCAAGTGCCAGCCCCTGTCCTTGCCCTCCCCCAGGACCAGTGCCCGTCCTGCATCCTCATCTGGAGCACGGAGTGGAGTTCCTGGGCAGATGCTCTCTCCTCTGCTTTGATCTCTGCTGTTTCCTAGAGGGATTTCAGTAGTATCCTCAAAGGAGCCTGAAATTACTTTTCCTGTTCCCATCAGAGGTTAATTCAGCCTTTGTTTTCTCCTGCCTGCAACACCTTTGGGCTGAGTGTTTGCTACAACTTGGCAAGGGAAGAAATAACATCAGAATTGACCTTGTACCAAAATAAATAGAGAGGAATTGATGTTTAGTCACAATTATCCTGTCCTCATTAACAGTTCCTCTGCTCACTGTGACACGAGGTTCCAAGGGGTTTGGTGTGACTTTTGTAATATTTGTGAAAGCAGCTTTTCAGGCTCTGCTGCCTGTGTGAGGAAGAACAAACCTGCTCACCTCCTAAAATGCTTTTCAGATCGCTCAGTGTAACACCCATTATTGCTCTACACAAGACAAAGGTAAAAATAATCAGGCTGAAATGCTTCCTCTTAGCTACTTTACTCTTATTTTGAATTATATCAGAGAAATCAGCTTTTTTTCCTGAAAGTTGCTGCCTGTCATTACAGTGATTCTGTTGCACTAATATCATTGAACATAAGAGTCTGCAAGGGTTATTTTTATCATGATGGGCTTAATTTTGATTTCTTGGGCTGCTTAAATCTTATTTTAAAGAAGGTTTCTGCTTCACGCCTGTAACAGGCAGCCTATAAATCTGTTTAATGCACTCACTGTCTGGATGTGCCACTTCTTATTTACTTTTCTGTCCTGTAATAGTATCTTTCATATTTTTCCTTACATCCATTTCAAAAACAGACAGTATAAAGGACAGTGCCTCTTTCCCTAAAAAAACCCCTCCAATTAAAATATGACTTAATAATGAATTCCCTGCAATCTGATTTTTATGGCATGCAGCTATTGTCATTACTCAACTATAAAGAGATCAACTTTAAATATTGAGTTCGAGACCCCAGCTGCTGTTTACAGAATGAGCTGATCATTAACCCTGGCTCTGGGGATATTGCCCTATGCCCCAGTATGCCCAACTGGTGTGTACTGGGCGAGCTCTGCTTTTCTCTCAGTGGCATGGCAGGATGTGGACGGGCTGTGCTCTCCTGGAATACAGCCAGGGCTCTGGATGAACAGGATGGATGTTTCTATGAACAGTTGTGTGGTAGAAAAGCAGATCGTGGAGCTTGGTCTGTGTCAGGGTGTTCTGTCTGTCCCCTGTCAGTCCCCTGGCTTTGTGCTTGTCACTGGTTACCTGGAGGGGTCTGTCACTCAGTTTGTGACTACGAAAAAGCTTCTGAAGTTGTTCTTTTTTGGCATGGTCTTGGTGAGAGCAAGACAGAACCAATGCTTTTGTTGTCTTTCCCTTTTTTTAATCTGATAACTTTTACTCTGTGCAAGACAGGATGGGGTTGGTGCATCTGGATGGGGGCTGTTGACCAGGGAAGTTGTTCTAATGACGTAATGTGGCCTCTCATGGTGTGAACCCAGTGCCCCCCTCCCCAGTACTGTGTTGGTTAGTTCCTCAGGCTGGGAAAATATGTGCTGTAAAAGTGCTTATCTGAAGGATGTCTTATAGCAGATGAAAGTAGGTCTCAACTAGACCCATGGGAATTAGCAGGATCTTCTGAGGAAATTGAGGACTGTGGTTTGCTGAAGAGACTGAAGGATATATTGGTTTGAGTGTTCCAGTTTGCAAGGTTGGAGGAAAACTTTAGGCATCACTTCAACGAAGGGATAAAAAAGTGATGCCCTCTGCCAGGCAGGGACCTGAAGAGTCTCAGCTGTCCCACCCCACCTGAGCCTCTCCTGCCCCACCACCCCCCATCCCACCAAGCTTCCCTCCCACTCTGGCAGGGATGAGTGCTCAGTCCTGTCCCAGAATGTGCCTGCAGCCCTGTCTCCTCCAGCACATTGCACCATCCTCCCCTGCATTTGGGGGAAACGTGCAGGAGCTGAAATGTGGTCCCAAGCTCCTTGGCAGGCTCTTCCCGTCGCCTTGAGCTGCATCACCAGCCTTATACTCTACTATTGCAGTGTACGTGCAAACCAAGCTGCAACAACCCTCTGTGGTCACATCAGAATGAAATCAGACATTGAAATGCAGTGTCCCTCACTGGCAGGAGGGAACTGCTGCTCCCTGTCCCTGCCTGCCCATCTGTGGCAGTGCTGGCAGTGTGACTGCATTGTACAGTGTGGGGCTGGAGGGGAGGCTGTGCATTATTTCATCAT